TGTTTTATATATGTATATATATATATATATATATATATATATATATTGTATATATATACATATATATCAAACACATGTGTTTGCGTGTGTGTGTGTGTGTGTGTGTGTGTGTGTGTGTGTGTGTGAGTATTCTAGCAGTTAATTTTAGAATCTCAGCAAACGATCGATTACTACGACTTTGAATTTATGCTTCAGTTGTTAAGAAGACACTATAAATAAAATACCAAGAGTATAGTATAAACGTATGTATGATGATACATATGTCCTCTTGGGGCAGCCACTACAATAATTTAGCAGCACGAGAGTTGTGCAACCATTGCGAATCTGAATCCGTGCATATGTATGCGTGTCCTCTCTATAGAATATGTTCTGTCTTTTTATGGTTTCGGCAGTGTTTTAGTTTATTTTTCTTTTTTTTTTTTTTGCTCTTTTCTTCGTTGGTTTTTTTCTTAACCAATAATTTGCCATTTTGTTTTGGAATAGTTCTTGCTGTTATTTTTTGCATTGTTGTTGGTGGAGTTTTGGTATCTAGAGGCGCTTAGAAAATTAAGTACGCGTTGCTTAGAACATTTCTCACATACTGATTGTTTTCACATATAATGATTTGATCTTGATTCTTTTTGTTTTGCTTTTGGTAATTTTTTGTTATTTTGTTTATTTATTTCTTTATTTCCTTTTTGTTTCATTTTATTTTTAGCCAACTCGAGATCAGATTGTAGAGATTCCTTCGTCTGTTCGTTTATATAATAGCTATCTTAACATAGCTGGAGCTTAAATTTTTGTTAAGCGGCATTTCTAAAAGTGTTGGAATTTATGCTACTATTTACAGTTCAAGAAGCATATGAATAAATTGGTTAAAGCTTTTAAGTTTCAAATGTGATATAATTAAGCAAGTAACATATTAAAACTTCAATCGCTCGATCGCGTAACTTAGCAAAGCATTGCCGTTATTAATAATTGAAATAATTTCAATATTTTTCCATATGCGCACACAATAATAATTAATACGTTTTTTAGCTACTGACAGGTTGACAGTAACCTATAATTACTTACTACCGTATCTACCGCTTTACGCGCGCACAAACGTATAAATAAATGTACATTTAATACGTGAGTGAGTAGAAGTAAGTTTTTTTTTCTTTTCAAATTGAAATAGAATCCCTATTGTATCCATCGCCATCGATTTTATTGCTATATTTAGTTGCAGCGCCTGTTTACTATTTATCACTGGCGCCACACAATAATCACTGCTGCATATATAAGGAGAGGACCTCTGCAGAAAGCGAAAATGGTATTTAAAAATTAATCAATTCTCTTAAACTGTCGGACATAAGTAACAAGCACATGTCACAAGACAAGAAAAAAAATAAAGTAAAAAAATATTAATTGATGTTAAGATAATTGTAAGCTGTTCTGAAGGGTTAACATTGCAACAGCAGAACCTAAAGCATTCATCTGCAAGAAAGTAATTATTTAAAAATGATTATTTTGAATCCCGAAATAATATCTTAGTTCAACGATGAATACCAATGAAAGTTGATACTTCCATTGGTTGCATCAGATGAAAATAAAAAACGTTGATGAGCACAGACTATTGGAAAAAATTTATAAATGATGCTGCTAGCGCGGTTGAATTCAAATGTAACTTGATTCAGAGTGCAAGCGATTGCATCATTATCGCAGAAGGTATCAATGGCGTTGCATTTCATGTCTAGTAGTTTAATAAGGTTTCGAATATTGGCCGTTCTTAGGTTCTATTTTCAGTTGGTTTCTATTCTGCTTCAATAATTTTTTTTTTTTTAATATTCGCATAAGGTAACAGAATTCGCATTGATTTTTTTTTATTTTGTATTTAACCAGTCACTTAGGTGCATGTAACCTACGTAGGGAAAAGCATGCTAATGGTCAGGAAAGGTTGTGAAACATCTGGAACGCGGTATGCAAGCCCGCTACACGTAACAAAAAAAGCGAGCAATGCGTTTGAAAGACAAACACGGTTAACTTGATAATTGGGATAATTCGCCAACAGGCTCAAAGAAGAAAGTTCAAAGCCAAAATTCATGAAACGGAACTTAGCAACATTAACAACACATATTTTCGTGTATCGGTTTGAGAGGGTAGTTATCCTAGATTCGCCGTTAAGCGAATATATTTTTGCCTAGTTACGCGCTTCATCGATAATGTCTAATCTTTAGATATAAGCCAAACCTCGATTTTTTTTTTTTTTAACCTTTGAAATGCTTCATTCGATGCGATTCCTTTGCGATAGAAAGTTAATCGCAAAAGCCTATATAGCTACATCCGTAGTATTGTTCTAGTTACAGATCTGTATTATAAATGACATGGCTGCGCTTGTACAATCCATTCTCTAAGGACGGAATAGCTATTTGCGAACGTGTTTCAGGAAATGGCCTGTTTTATGTAATATTTTCTCTTCATCCGAATATTGATGTGAACAATATTACTTACAAACACACATTCACAGCCATTGCTGCCGTGCTGCTTTATCATATATTGCATTTAAGATGCTTTGACAAAATGTTTTGCTAAAACAAGTAAACGAATGATTGCCTTATTCGAATTATGATCAATCACAAGTACTTTTCACTTAGGATTTATAACGTCTGGCCAGTAAATTCACTTTAATGGCTACTTTCAGATTCACAGCAAACATATAATCACAGTTGCACACAAATTGGATGGAAAATTTTTAATTGCCTAAGTTAAGTATTACTAAGAGAAATATTAAATTTACCTCATTCTCCGCTGCCAACTAATAAAACCACATATACATACTAGTAAATATTAAAATTACAAACCATTCGAAAACTTTACATTAAAAATTTCGCTCGCTTATCTTTTGTTATTTTTTTTTTTTCTGTATTTGTTAAAATATTTACTTAAAATTTAAAAATTCCTATGTTAACTATAAAAATTACGATTAAAAGAAAGAAAGCAGAGAGAATATTATTATTGTATTCGTAAGTATGAACTCTTTATGATAAGATTATTGTTATGTATAAACATACAAAAACACAAAGCTTCACTCTTTTTCATAATTTTTTACATTTATGTTAACTTAAAATTGAATAGAAGATGAAAAGAAATCAGAAGACAGTCTTTGTGTGGAATTTAAAACGAATCTTTGAGACTCATCTCATTTTTAACAATAATTTATAAACTTTCTCTCCAGAAACGCGAAGTTGAACGGAATAAAAAAATTTCTATATATGCATGGCTGTCTGGTGAAATATACTCACACCCTCACAAATCTAAATAAACGATAAGACGGACAATTTCGTTCAATAAAAAGTGCAGGTAATAAAATTCCATCTGGCTATGCATCTGTTCCATCGCCCAGGGTTCATAAAACAAGACATATTTTGCATGCGTTTCAATAAATGCATGAGATCCACCAGCTATCCTCAAAAAAGAATTGAAATTGAAATCATGGAATCCATTCATAAGGACATAATTTTTTTGCTTACTTCCCTGAGATTATGTCGTAATACAGGGTCAAGTTTTATCTCGAATCGAATTTTATCATTTAAGAATCGGAAAAGTTGCTCAGCTTCACTAAACGATTACAAGTTATTCAAAAATGTCTATTAAAAATTTTATTTTTGCGATATTCGCTCATGGGATACATATGTAATGATAGCAATGATCCCAAGAAATAAACTGTTAAGGGTGTTATATGAAAAAAATGACGCTGTATAAGGTTTCCACTTAATTCATTGTACTGAAATAGTGCAAGTATAAATTATCAGTAGTAGAAGTGACGAAACATTATACACGAATTTAAACGGATCGCTCCCAGAAACAAGGCAATCGGACGACTAGTTTTATGATAATGTTGGAAGGAATCTCCGGCATGTAACTCCGACAACTGTCACACTTATAATTTCTTGGCGAGGTAAGTATTCGTATATATATACATAACTTTATGAATGGATTTTTATGATCCCACAAGATGGAGAAGCGCAAACCGCTATAAGAATACTATAAGCAGACCGTATGGAATAGCTGATATCAATGCGTTCCAAACGGAATGGAAAAATGAAAACCTCGTCTGATGAAACGAAACTTTTTCTTTTATTTATTTTTCATATATTTTCTTATTTTATTTTTAATTTAGCAAAAAAAGGAAAGAAAATAAATAAACTTTTGTTTGCGGATAGTTATAAAATTATTAAAGATAAAGAACAGAAAAACATTAAAACTATAAAGAAAATTAAAAAAGGGATAAAAAAAAAAATTTAATTAAAATCAATCTTAAACTTAAACTTAATTTTTAACTTAAACATAAACAATTAACTGGCATTAATAACTCTCACATTTCACAGTATCTTCTTGCGCATACTTCAGTGTGTATCGCAACGTAACGTAATGTAAAGTAAAAACTAATTTTATTCAAAATAACTAACATACCATGTAAGATTTTTGAAGAAAAAAAAAACAAGAAGATAAAAAGATTAACACTTAATATTATTAACGCTAAGTAAATAATTAAGTATTATTTTGCTTTTGCGTTTGTTTTCATTTTCTGCTTTGTTTTCATTTTCATTTTCCAAATTTAACTACGATATTTATTAAATGTAGTTACGAATTTATGATTAAATCTAGGACTACTTAATGATGATGGTGGTATTATAAATTGTCTCTCTCTCTCTCTCTCTCTCTCTCTCTCTCTCTCTCTCTCTCTCTCTTATTCTTTCTCTCTTAATCGTCCTTGTTGTTTTTCCGTCAAAAATCCATTCTACTCTATATAGTTTAATATGCGCTTATACGTAAATTTGACTCCTTGGGAGCAACAGAGAAAATGATACGATGATGTTATACTAAATTCTTATTGTTTAATTTCTAACTTATATCTTAAATATAAATTATTACAACATTGTCTGTGTTAGTACATCATGCCTGGATGCACAGCTCCACCGCGTTGGAAATATACATTAGGATTACTGCTTAAAGTAGGTTCCAAGGTGGTGTATACATTCGTTTCATCAGGTCGTATGAATATTCCTATTAAATGAAAAAAGAGGAAAAAATATTTTTTGTTTCTTTTACGGAATTGGGAGCGACAAGAAAAAAACAAAAGAATTTTTTATTCGCCTTAGGCCGAATAGTTTAATATCTATCCGCATAATAAATATATTTTTAGTTGAACAAAAGGCAGAGCTTTATTCTACGCTCTATGTAAATATTTCGCATCATATTTTTCATTAGACTTCGCTGGTAACTGAAAAGCTACGAACTATATGTTCCTACGTCTTTGGGTCATTACACACGGACTCTGCTTGGGTCGATTAAGCCGATATGTGAGCTTAAAGTGTGCGACCGTAAGAGAAAATTAAGAAAGAGAAAAAATGAAGTAAAAATAATAAAAAACTGATTTTTATGGGCAAAGTTGTAAGGTCGTAACAGTGATTACAATACACAGTCAGGCAAACAAACATGGCTTCTGCTATATATGTGTATATATAGGCATATATATATATATATATATCGGTGTGTGTGTGTGGGTGTGTGTGTGTAAAGTTATATAGACTTCGATGCGTATGTCGTCTATGCGTTGTCAAATTTAGTGTACTGCCTGTGATGAGTATAAAAACTTATTTGGATTTCGAAGACTGAGAGGTGTTAAAATTATTTTTTTTTTCTGCGTGCTTGCGAACGAGTTAACTTACCTGGATAACGTATTGTTTGTGCTATATGTGCTTGTGTCATGGAGCCCAACGAATTGCCTAATTGCTTGAGTGTTGGCGGTGCTGGCAATTGTGTCATTGTGGGTGGTGGTATTGGTGGTAATGGTGGTGGTGGGGGTTGTGGATAAAAACAAAACGGGTGCGTTGTCAAATGTGCTGGAAAATAGTGATACATACGTGTATAGCTCGGTGGTGCAGCAGTGACCAAAGCAACGCGATCTTGTTGCGATTATGTATTTATTCATTTATTTTATTGAGAGCGAAAATTTCGCAAAACGTGTACACAGGCAACGAAACATACCGGTAGACACACATGTAGATGCACGTTTCCATTGATATACATGCATACATAAATACATACATACGTACATACATACATGCATACATACATATATGCATACATTTATATATACATATACATATATATATTACAAATATTTATTATTTATTTTCGCAGAGATTATCAAAAAATGATCAATAATTTTTTTGGTATATATGATACGCGTACATATATAAGGTTTAAATGTCATATGGATGTTGGTTAAGTATGTATATGATGACGTGATTATATTTATTTTTACATAATTTAAACAGTAAAACACAAAAACACAAGCGCAAATTAATTCCATACGTAAAAGATTTAATTGATTTATGTTTTGTGAGGTATCATGACACAGGATGCATTGTGAAATTAGTTATGTTGTTGTTATAATTGTTTTGTTTTTAAATGTGAATAATGATGCATAGAATCCAAAGTATGACATATGAACGAGAAAGAAAATAACAAAAAAAACAAAACAAATAAGACAAAAATGACTTAATTATGACACGTAAATGTGATTATGAGAAAACATACAAAATGATAAAAAATAAAAAACAAAAAAATTAGTTTCTTTTTATGCGCATTATTGACTATCAGTATTATTGACTATCGCAGTCAAGACAATGAGCAACGTTGATTGGTAAGAACATTTTTCTTTTTGTTACAATTTCGTATCATCAGTGAGCAGAATTCGATTTCATATTTTCTTAAGCATTAATCGCTTGTCATTCCTGTGCCAGTATTGCTTTCTTTTACTTACTTAAAATTAAACTTAGGCGCAAACTTATAAAATTTTTAGAGGAAAAAAATAAATTTATAAGAAAAAAAGCCATCAATAGAATAAAAAAAATAAAGAGGAAAGAAAGCTTTCATACAAATTTGTCACGCATAAACTTGTTTTTATATGAGCAGCTGCTTCTGTCATCATTTTTATGATAAACAAAAATTTCTTTAAAAAGACAACTTTTTTAAAGTGTGATAAGCTTTTACTATCATTTAGGTAGAAAACGTTTTTCGGGTGACAAGCATACAGATGGACGTTCTTTACTTGTGGATTTTTGTTTTCTTTTGAAATGGGAATATATTGAAATTATACCATCATCTCTGTACAAAAAGAGCGAAGCAAAATGAAAAGATAAAATTTAATACCTGAACTTAAAACTGCGAAATACACCAAAAGACACGAAAAATAAAATGAATCAAATACTCGTTGGAGGTAGATTTCTTCTTAAAATTACATAAATAATCGAGTAGAAAGGATCAGTTTTATATACAATAATAGATCAGAAAGTCAAAATAATCAAAATAATGATTAAGAAAGCAATATATGTCTTAAACTGCATCTTGGATCCCGTAGAAACTAAAGCAAATAATCAATTCCCTCTTTAAAGGCATTGGACCCTTGAATATTGTGTATAAAAAATATATTTGTTGTAATATTATATTATTATATATTATATAACGTACGTACGGTTGTCAAATAATATGAATGAAAACAAGATATGTGATTGAAATATATTCTGCCTTTTGTCTTTGCCTTTGATAACATATCGGATACTCATTTAAGCCACAAATTGATTTGCTTCCTCTCTTTCTTTCTCTCTCTCTCTCTCTCTCTCTCTCTCTCTCTCTCTCTCGGTCATAAACAGCGAAAATTTCTTCCTGAAACTGCGCAGCAATCGTATCTTCATCCAATTGGAATTATACATTATATGGACCAAACATATATCTATCTGTATCGACGCTAAGAAAATATCTGACACTCAATTCTTCTTACCTTGTGAAAACTTGGGAGGAAAGGATTTGTAAACACACAATAATAACAATGAAGTAAATTATAATAGAAAAAGGTGCTTTGTGAGCATATAATCAAAGCACAATTAACTTTAATATCAATATTATTATTTTTTTACGTCACTCTGAAGAAAGTTTCCTTCTTTACTCTTTCGTTAATGCAGGTGTTCAGCCCATAAAATATACTGATTCTTAGATGTGTACAGATTTTCGTTTCTGTTTTCTTTTCTTTATAAGTAGAAAGCAATGTTGGTCCTGTAACACTATGAGAAATTAGCTTAAACTACCGACAGTTTCAAGGAAAGCGACGACAAAAATATGGATAAAGTAAGAACTTATTTATAACCTTCTGATAGCGAGAAATCTTAAATCATTTTTTATAATTCGAAAACTATCTATTTTCTTACGAAACGCAACAAATTTTTTTAAGTCAAAATCAAAATATTCAAAGAATCTTAACGAAGAGAATTTGTAAAAATAACGATATTTTGGGACAACGTGGAATCCTCCTATCTTTATTGTGTTAAAGAACGCGGATACGAACAATACACATTTTCATTGAATGAAACGGGAAGTTTTTTTTTACCCTACACGTAAAGGGTACATTAAGTTTGTGCGGATGTACGCAGTGATAAGAAGGTCTTATGATAGACCCACCCACCCTTCATTATACCGTGGAAATTAGAATCATCTTCTAAATCAATTTAGGCTTATCTGTCGGTCTGTCCATTTGCCTGTGTCAATATACGTATTTGTCTATATACGTGAATTTGTCTTCTTGTATCTAGATATATTAGTGGACGTGTTTATATACTCTGTGTGCAAAAACTAGTACAATTTTCAGAATGGTGTTTGTTTTGTTCAGTAGACAAAGTTTATTCTGCGTTTCTTACGATTTGTTATTCTCTCGCATATATTCTCGCTTCATACATTTACAAAAAATTGCCATCCATGCATACACGTTTACAAATGATCGATCTAATGAATTAAAGTGTTGGAAGGAAATTTCTAAAGAAACTTCAGGAGCCAACAACAAACACGACCATATGTGAACAAAAACAAACTATATACAAAATGAACAAAAGTAACTCAAAGCTTAGACATTTTTAAAACTGAATTCTTAACGTTTTTCTATGTATTCGTTCTTAACGTTTTTCAATGTATTTGCCTATTAATAAAAATTGTGTCAGATAGAAAATAAAACCAGTAAACATAAGAATAATTTATGTTACTATTTGGGCATATGTGAAGCTGGTTTGCATCTAAATAGAAGAAAGAAAATATAAATGAATAAATAAATGACAAAATAAAAAAAAAAATTCGGTAAGCTTTTTAAAAGCATTCCATAGTCAAATCATAGAAAATTAATTACTTTGAGTTCAGTTTGAGTACAAAAAAAAAAAATTCCATCCAGTTCAAATTTATCGCCATAAAGACCATAAGTAACGTTAAACGCAAGCAAGTTTAAGGTACCGTTAATTTGATTATCATTAGTTTGAAATGAAATCTGACTTTTTTCAAGAATTAAAATTGAGAACTTAAACGCATTACATATGATAGAGGAAACTATGCTTTAGATAAATTAGGTTTTATGTAAAATTGTTGAAAAGAATACGGAGGCATATATATATATATATATGTATACGTACCCCAAAAAGAAAAAAAACAAAATTGAAAGAAAGTTAATGACAGCAAATTTATTCCAAGATCAAGTGGGTGGACAAGAACAAGATCAAAATCTCTGTGTTATGTGTACTTACAAGAAACAGCACGTGATGGTAAAAATGTATGTACACACGATACACATGCATAAAAATACATAACGAAAAAAAAATAAATAAATAAATAAACTAAAAAATAAAAACACATTAACATTGACAACGAAGAACACAACACGACAAATACTGTGCAAAACGCAGTTTAACTAACATAAGATCCAGCGTCTCTCAGTGTTGACTGATGGCTATAAGATGATTGTCATTCTAACAGAGTGGAATTTTCATGCTCCCTTCTTGCCTAGTATTTTGTAACAACAGTTAAGCTATTTTCAATTTTCTACTGAAGACAGCGCGAGATTACAACAGTCACACGGGCAGCAAATCAACCATCCAGCCAACCGGCCGTCCAACTAGCAAGCCAACTAGCTAGCTAGCGATTTAAAACTAATTCTGAATTCAATCATTTCCAGTAAATGTTTAGATAAGCTTATACTAACAACACAACTAATTGGCCACGCTTTAGGGTCATTGTCATCGGAGTAAATTCATTGCTGGTTGTTACTGTTGCTGTTGTTATTATCGTGGTTGTTGGATTTGTTGTCGTTGCTATTGTTGTTCTTCTCGTTGATGCAATGCTACGGAGTTTGTAATGTGTGCAAGAAAACTTCGGGCATAAAGCGTGACTAAATCACAAGAAAAATCACCAAGTTGAGGGAGGTTGCGAAAAAAAAATTTTTTCTAAGAACATAAAAAAACAGACAAACTACCAAACAATTTAAAATTTAACTGAAAAGCTATACTCCAGTTTTTCGAAGGATGTTCCAATTACGTAAACTGTTAAATAAATCAGAAACTTGAATATTAAATCTCTCGTTGATTGTCTTTTTCGCAAATGAAGTAACACTTGTTTCAAATGCCTAAAGCGAGAAGCCATCATCTAATTAATTGCATGGACGTATGTTACGGAATATACGCATGTACCGGAATAGTTAGTACAAATCGAATTCGAACTCAAACTAGATAAAATTATGCCAGCGCATTTTGCCCTACCAGCAAACACCAAGGTTTAACAACGAACTAGATTAAGTTGAATGTTTGCGAAAATTTTTCAAAGATTTTCCAAAGGCTTTGCATATTGAGTTCAAAATATTGAAAATTTCACATTAAGGTAATCCGACAACGAAATGATATAGGTAAGCTTTAATTGTGCAGTAAGTGCAGCACGGTATTATGACTATAATCAATTAAGGTAAAGAACTTGCACTCGCATATAATTTTCAATAAATTGTTTCTTTGTTTACCTAATACATAGGTTTTCATTTATTTAATATTACATCAAAGATGTGATTCGAGTAATCGTCCTAATCTGTGGCATATTAAACTTT